AGCTTCCCACAAGCAAAGTCAATGGGGAAGCTGGAAGCAAGTCACAAGTCATTCACACATCCTGCTGCTTTTTTGCCCTTGGTCATTGTGTTTCTATGTTTAGGTAAGGAAATATTTCTGAAACAATGACCCAACAGGTGACAGGTTGTCTAGGGTTAGGGTTAGGGCCTGATATTATCTTGTACTAATGGTGATGTCTGGTTTTACCAACTTAGTTTGTCTTTTATTTCACCCTCAATTTTGACTTCTCTGCTTTCCCTTTTGTTTTATGAAAGTCGCATAGCACTCATGGTTTACGTAGGCAACTGCTTCTCAGCAATTCCTTTATTGCAGCAAGGACCAGCCTATCATCTTCTACCAGCTGGTTACTCTGTAAGCTTCCTAATCACCCCTACCTGTGATGCACAGAAGGTACAAAGAAGTAGAAATGGTTGCCTGTTTGTAACTGTAGTACATTTACAAAACTAGCCATGGATGTACTTTGCTGAGGAACCAAGGCCTGCAAGGTGCTTTGGAGTGGGTGTGGGCCTCCTTAATGAAGTTTCCTGGGCTGGTCCTGCAGCATGGAATCCCAGAAAATAAGCTTCTGGGTTAAGGTGGAGGCCCTAACAGGAGTGACCAGGTTGCTTTATGGGCATGTCTGCGCTCACTCCGAAGGAGAGTCTTACAACCCTACGAACAATGCTTCTTGATCAGGCCTTGTTCTGCTTAGTGTGCTCTGATTTTCCAGGGTTGGTACACTTTATGGGTGTTCCGCTTGGGAGCATGCATGCAAGGGACAAGCTCCTGTCTCCAGTTTGTCCTCGGCTCTAGAAGGTTCTGATGAAGGCCCCTCTCTGGCTCAGAATCCACATGAATGTCACTTTGTAATTAATAGTTCCACTTCAACAATACTCTTTTGCCTCCCAAACCTCTCAAAACAGATCAAAAGCCCCTTGCTCCAAATGCTTGGACAACTTGAAAAAGGCCAGGGTTCTCATTTCTTTTTCTTCTGATGCCTTTTCTGTAGCTGGAAGCTGATACAGGATGCAAAGAAGAGGCAGAAATGAAAGACGGAAAACAAAATGGAGTTGAGGAGAAAACAGAAGTTGACATAGAAGTTTGAGGCTGAAAGCTGACCTGTTAGTTTTCTAAAACTGAAGAATTTCCGGTGAACTAGACCTTTATTTTTCTATCTGATTCAATAAGGGGCAACAGCTGGGGCTACAATGCTGTTTAGTGTCTATATAGGAAATGGTGGCAGAACAGAACCAAGTAATGTTTGATATATTATTTATTCAATCATGCATCTTTACTCTGTTGTTGATCTTGAAAGTTCTGTTAGAATCCCTTCTTTCAGTTTTCTCATCTCCCTGGCATCTTTCTCAGGTTCCAGCTTGGTCTAATCCCAAATTTCGCATTTTACTCCCCTTCTTTCCTTTTTCTTTCTAAAGAAAGTTTTATCTGCACATGCACACAGCTGTTGCATGAGAGACCTAAAAACAGAGAGCTCCATTCTACTGCAGCCTGGACCTCTCTCGCTTCCTCTGTCAGCGTCGATGCTCTTCTGTCCTGGGCGGGTGGGGCCACCTTTCTTGCAATGTCTCCTCTTCTACGCTCTGCAGAAGTTGAAGACACAAAAATCCAAAGCTTGAGCAATAAACCGCCAAAGCCGTCTTTAAGGTGTGGAGTTGATAGTAACCTTGGGATTACTTGGGATACAGACATTCCTCTCAAGTGTTTACTCAAAATCAGCAACATAGTTGTTCTGCCATCTCTGCTGCTAGCAGCCAACCAACAGGAACTTTGGAATAAAGGTGAAATTAAAGTGCAAATAGAACGGCGATGTGCTAGGCATCCCCTCAACATCTGCCCAAACTTTATTGCAAGTCACCAAATGTTGCTGCAGTAATATTAACCATATATGGAAGGAGGCAGCCCACAAGCCCACGAACATCTGGCGGTCACAGAAAATCCCATTACACTCTCCCCAATCTGAGCACTTGTGGCCTACCTGCCGCAGGTCAGAAATTCATGTCCTTCAGGGACTTCCGTACTCATTCTACATTTAGCACAGAAACACGTAACAAAGGAAAGGGCACTCCCATTAGAACATTTGCCCAGTTCCACAACTCCCCTGGAAGCGTGCACAGAGCCCACAGAACAGTTCAAGGCCCTGTCAAAGAGCCAGTCGTTTAGCCAGGTGGGTGACTGGCAGATACTCCTATCCCTCTTATCGCTAGGGGCAGCAATGTGGTTCATCACACTGGCTGGTGGCAATGAGTTGTTAGGCAGGTCAATAGGAGGGAGGTGTCGATAGGCTGAGGGCTGCGTGCATAAGTGGTGATGACTTCTGAAAGAAAAGCAACCCAAATTGAATCATATTTAATAATTGGTTTATTAAAATAATTAATGCAACACTGATCTGTTTTGCCCATTATACAGATTAAAACTGTATAATCTCTGCTTTGTGTATGTGATTACTGGGATGAGAAGATTGCTTTTGAATCTGTTTTCTGTAAATTCATCTGAAAAAATGGAGCTGTATATCTGGATTCAATCTCTGTAAGATGCCATTGCACCACACAATTGCAGCATTCCCATAGATTCAAGGGGACCTATTTTTAAATAGTGAAGCGGGATTACTGTGATTCTACTTGATTATGGCGTTGGTACTAGAAGAAAGGGAGAATAAACTTGATTGTGAATTTCCCCGTAGTTGCTCCTACAGCACTCCAGTTGAATCAAGCCAAAGGCCACGTAGTCGAGTTTTGTTTCCAAGCTTGGGTGTATGAACTTACTGAACTTGATTATGAAGGAAAATACAGAAGGTTTGCTTAATAATCAGAGAGAAAGGGGACAATTCCGGCAGGGCAGCAGCGCTCTGGTACCGATCATAAGGCGATACAGGACTAGGTCTTTGTCCAGGGTGCCACCTGCCACTGATTTGTGCTTGGAGAACAGCTGGGTTTATGGAGTCTAATTTGCAAGCGGGCATCGTTTATAATGCATGGCATTAGTAATATTGGCATTACATCACCAATAAATACTAAGATTCCAGCCTCAGCTTCCCATTTTATTTCTTTGTGAAGCTGGGGGTTCTCTCTGGTAATTTAATAGCAACTTCATTCCTGGTGTTTCAAGTAAAAGCTCTTCCTGAAGTAACAAACTCCGAAGTTAAGCCTGCTGCACGATCCATCCGAGAGCCCTCACCCCGAGGATCCCACGTATTGTGGAGCTGCCGAGTGTCACTGCTTCCCCCGTGGGCAGCGCGGTAGTGGGCTTTGCAAGGGAGGCTGGACGTGTCTGCGGCAGCCACTCTCGGGACGGGACCGTCTGGCCCAGCTTGACCCGCCAGACCGGCTCTGGGAACAGGCACGTTACGCTTCTCCGTCAGCCACGACCGCCGGGTGGCCCAAGGCTTTGGCGGGAGCCTCTTTCCAGGGCGCGAAGGGTCTACCCTAAAGCTCATCAGGATGTTCTCTCGTTGTTTTTTATGATTCCCTCTCCTTCGTTTGCATTGTCATTTTGTTTTTAACAGCTTACCAGTGTACAAGAAATATATGTAAACCTGTATGAAAACGGTATAAAGGGCATGAGGGTGTAGCAGATCGAAGAAAGCGATGCCTGTGGGACCCTTCTCCCGGTTCTGGAATTTAAATAAAAGTGTCGTTGCCTTTCACCCTGTCTGCAAGCACAGCTACCTTTCCGAACAGTCGGGAATTCGCGGCCACTTAATGAAAGGAGCGGGAGACTTTTGTTCTCCCGGCTGACAGGAGCTGCACTTCAGGAGGACCCCAAGCATCTTTTCCCCAGTAAGTATGCAGTGCCAATCTCTCCTGCGGTGTTTAAGCAAGCTTGGTGACAGGAACCAGTGTTTTAAGGTTTGAGGATTAAAGGGCCTGGGCTTGTGAGAAACCAAAGATTACTAGCAGTTTTGGTCAGGCAAGGACACAAACCAGGAAAATTCCTGAAGTTTGGGTTTCGAACTCAGGGTAATCCTGGTGATTGAATTTAACTCAGGAAAAAAGATGAGACATAACAAAGAGAATTTGGGAGGTTGTGTGTGTCTCTATGTTTGTCTCGGATTGGGGCAATGCAACTTCCCCTATGTACCAGAAATTCTTTTTGAGGTCACTTAGAAAGCAGCAGTGCCTCCTTGTCATCTCTGTCTCTCCAGGTTCTTGTGTGCGTGTGCGTGCACATGCTAGGATTGTAAACTGGGAAACAAAAAGGTCTCCCTCCCCCAAAAAGAACTCCCACTCACTTCATTTGCACACAGAATGGGCTGTGAGCTTGCAAGTATATAAATAAATGGGATAAGGCCTTTTGAGGCCTAGTAATCAGTGTTGGGATTCCCAAAACACGGAACATAAGATGTAGACAAACCGGATGCCGTGGCAGAGACATGTTCTGCTAGTTGCTTCCTAATGGACGTTTGTGGGTAGATGCTGTTGGCCTGTCTGGGCCTCTTGGCTGCGGCAGAAAGACAAAGGTTTCCAGGGACTGAATGACATGAACCCTGGAGGTTTTAAGAGGGAGTGGGTGAGGGTGGGGGTGGTTGGAGGAAAAGGGTGGTGATTTTTGTGGGGCGAGACTAGGTTGGAAGGCGGTTTGGAGATTTGGTGGCTTGGCATTTCAGTGGTTCTCAGGAGCCTTATCTGTTCAGTTCCTAGGGATGGTTGGGGTGCTGTAAAATTTATCAGCAGAACACATCATTCCCCCAGCTCCTCAATACTCATTTCCTAACCTTAATTCTCTCAAACGGGGGAAGAACGAACAAGGGTGCTGGGACTCTGTATGTGGTCTCCAGTTTGTCATTACACTTTGTGATTAGTTGTACAGGACCCAGACTTTAGTACACCATCTCTGTGGGTGGAGGAGAGGGGTGCTCTGATGCCAAGGGGTAGCAGTGACTTCCTTTCTTGACTTCTGGGTGATCACAGCGTATCTCAGCCTGTCGGTCAGTCCAGCAGCTCTTTGCCATCTTATATTTCTTTTGTGGTGTTACAGAGGGCGCTGGACAGAGGGGCTTGGGGGACACAACTTGCCCTTGAACTATACAACAGGATGATGGTGGGTGGGGCCCCCTATTCCCCATAAATGCCATTTCATCATATTCAGAAAAGCAATGCCTTGCCAGATACTCTCCAACACGCGGAGGATATTTGACCCTTGTCAGATATCCTCTGACAAGGCATAGCTTTTCTGGGTATGATGCAATGGCATTTATGGGGAATGGGGAGCCCCCATCCACCATCATCCTGTTGTATAGCCGAAGGGATCCCAGGCGAGTTGAACCTGTACAGCTTCCATTTGCTGAGAGATCTTCTGCTGTTATTGTTTCAGTGGATCTTGTGGTTGCACTTGAGACTCATTGATAGTGCTGAGTCATGGCTTTGGAAGGTCAGCAAAGGGCTTGGCAGCTTCATTGAAAGGCGAGGGTGTTGCACAAGTGCGTCCACTCTCAGCACTTGTTCTGCAGGCATGGATCTGGAAAGTACTTTCTAATGACAGGATCTATCCTGCACTGCTGGGGAGGGTGAGAGATTGTCCTGTATCAAATGCTGGCATAAGAGTAGGCCCATGGCAGGATGCAGGCCTACTTTTAGGGGGTAGTTATATGGAGTGTTGCTTGAGGGTTAACCAGGAGCAAGAGTGGGTGAGGCAAGCATGTGACTGAAGTTGGGGACAAAAACCAGGTAGGAACGGATGCTTTAGGAAGGCCACTAGGCTCTGTGCCCAGATTAGAGTCTCAGTAGGGATCAGGATGTGGGAAATGTTGCAGCAAGATCTTCTCCGAGTTGGGTGGGGTGGGTGTCCTTGTTGCCAACATTCCTGTCAACTGGGAACATGGCCAAATACAGACCTTATAGGTTGTGTAGTGCCTGTTTCACAAGTGCCTCAGAACTCTTCATTCTTGACCTCACAGTGGTAGTATAATTTGCTCAGCAATTTTCACAGTATGCATCATCAGTGTGTACCCATGTTGGGAGTACAATGAGATACCAGTCTGTAATGTCTTTGGTGACCTTGGCTGGGACCCAGGATGACATCAACTGGGTGGATGGGCGGGTGATGACATGGAGGCACTGGGTGAAGTATTTGGTGCAAAAAAGGGAGACACTGAGCTGGCCATTGTGAGGAGTAGGTCCCTCTGATAGTGGCTTCAGAGTCTTCCTCCCAGAAAGTGGGAGAGCTGTGTTGGTTGCATGCAAAACGGGTGACAGCAGCAGCCTCAGTACCTGCATTCACAGGCATAGCCTGAACAACCTTTGTGGTCCTCCTAGGAGTTGTGAATTGGCAGGGCAAGTTGTGTCCCCAGGCCAGGAGCCATCCTGGGGCGAGAGGGTTTAGCAACTGAGGCTCTGGCCTGTTGGGACTTGAGGCGATGCACTGGGTCTGACTAAAAAGCATCTGAGATGATCTGTGGGACATGACCCTGGTCCCCATCAGCAGAGTTGCCAAGAGCAGCAGCAGTGGGATCAGAAGCTGCAACAATGCTGGCAATGGCACAATCTCATCTTCCCAGACTGGGGCAGACGAGATAGAGGTTGAGGGACTTGGGAGAAGGAACGGGTGCAGGAATCTGGAGAATGAGGTGAGGCCACTGGCACATATGTCAGAGTGGAATGTGTGGGGCAAGATAGTAGCATGCCTGTGCTCCCAATGAAGGGCAACAACAACTGCTAAAGGTTGCAGGTCAGATAAGACTGCAGCATCTGTTGCTCTAAGCTAGTGGGTTTCACCGAATACTCCAGGTCTGGGAGCAAAGGACCAGCGTATTGTTTGCCTTTTATAGACTGGTCTTGAGTATTAACTAAGGCTCTAATTCAGTGATTTTGGAAAACAATAATCTTTAACCACAAGAGGTCGGTGGTGGCCTGACCCCCAAGCTTGTGGGATTGTAATTTTCTGGGGAGATGGCTGAGCTGCCCTTTCCATACCAAGAATCACTAGCACCACACCGTAGATTCGTGCAAGATTGTTAGATGACTGTCCTGAGTATGTCAAAGCAAGTGATTAATTGAACATAGGAAAATAATAAAGAAATTAGTCTGCCACAGTTTGTTTATGACAAACCCTGGATGAGGGAGGACAAGCTGAAATAAAATCCAGACAAAACTTGTCTTTTGGTACGTTGGATTCAGGACTGAGCTTCAGCCTGTTCGGGATGGGATGGGATTTGCAACCTGTGGGCGCTTCTTGACTTCCAGATGTCACTGGACTCGGTATTGGCAAGATGTGGCTAGGTGCCCCATCACACACTTATGTCTAGTGCCTCAGCTGCATCCTTTTTGGAACAAGCTTGTGATGATTCAATCTGTCCCAAGTAGTGCCATCTTCCCTACTCGAGCGCAAAGTGCAGAGAGCTCCGATGATGCCTCCACAGAAAGGTCTGAGTTGGTTGCTGTGAAGGGCAGGGCAGGGCAGCGCAGGGCTTGTAGGGTGAAGGGTGGAGTCTCCACTCCCCTTTCAGAAATCCTCCAGGTTTTACACACCCCAACCTGCCTCCTTGCACGCAACGGGTTTTGTAACGCTTTCACTGCCCCCGCCTGTTCACCTTCATTCCAACATGCGGATAAAGTAATACTTAACAGTGACTATAGTAAGGTAGGCTCTTTTTCCTTTTCTTAGTTTGTTCCCCCCCTTTTTTTCTTTTGGTTCTATTAATTTTTTCCCCTTTAGGTTAAATGATTGTACTGTTAATTGTGTGTGGCACCACTTCCCTTAGGAACTGAAACAATATAACAAGTTTTAACTGAAAATTAAATTTTATTAAAAATTTAAAAAAACTTGCAAAGCTTTCTCTTCCACACTAAACAGTCCCTTCTGATACTGGTAACTGTTGGAGAAAATGCTCCTGGCAGCATGACTGATAAAATCAGAAGCAGCATATAAAAAATAATTGCCTGCAGAGAAGGAGATTCTGTCTTACTCTTATTTGAAACCCTCAAGGTATTTGGCTTGTGAGTCAGAGGATGGCACGTCACATGGGAAAGCATCCAGAGCCGGGTTGAAAAATGTTCTGAAATTAGGGGTGAAAAAAAAATCCCTAATCAACATCTCAAAAATATTTTTGATACAATTTTCAAAACTGCAGCAAAATATGCTTTAAAAAATAAAATTGCAAGTTGCTTATTAAATGTAAAAATATTTTAAATAATTCCTGTCAAAAATACAATTCATTTTTAAAACCTCAAAGAATATGTTTCTGTCTAAAAAATCTTTTAAAAATAGCAAAATATTTTAAAAATTGTATTCAAAGCTACTGCAGAACATAGTTTTCTACAGGACTATACAAAATGTTCCAAAACGTTAATGAAAAGTCTTACTCTGAAATTGTGAAAAATAAAAAATTCCAATAGTTAAAAATAGTGTGGAATTCAATTTACAAAAAAACCCATCATTCTATCAACTCCCCACTACAGTGCCTCCAGAAAATCAAAGACCTAAAAAGAGATGAAGATGAAATTATAGTTTCATACGATCACAGAACTCTTTATATCCATAGACTCAGAACTAGCGAAAGAATCCATGGCAGGGTTCACACATCAAATCTAACACACACTGAACCTAACCAAATACACTAAGATTGAAATACCCAGAATCATGGACCTCATCAACCACTGCCTCACTACTTATTTTCAGTTTGATGGACAAATATATCCACAAATCAGA